GAGTTGACTAGGTAAAGCTAGATATGACTAAATTCAGCTTTCTGTGTTAGATAGAAATTGTTACAGAAAATAGAAAGAGGTACATTTTTGTATCTCTGAATTTTGTTGCCAGTAACACTTATTTCTAATACTGTAATTTTTAATGATCACAGTAGTATTGTAGTTTATGGATATATTTTATTTAACTAATTTCCTATCATATGACATTTGGGTATTCCAAGTTTTCATTACTATAAAAGATACGGGGACAAACACCATAATATGTGCGTATCACTAATTAATTAAACCTGTGCTAGCCAGTTACCACATCATGAGGTCACTCGAGCAGCCTATGGAGAGTTCCCACCTGGTGAAGAAATAAGGCCTCTTGCCAACAGCCATGTGAGGGAGTCAGTCAAGGCTTAAGATGCTGCAGCCCCAGTTGACATCGCAACTCAACCTATTAGAGACCCTGAGCCAGGACCACTCACTCAGGTAAACTATTCTCAAATTCCTGCCCACAGAAACCATGAAATAATAGGTGTTTATTGTTTTAAGCCACTAAATTTTGGATGAACATGTTATACAGTAATAGATAACATGTATATTATATATAGTACATACATATATGTAAAGATATAATATATATGTGTACACACACACACACACAAGCATATATACTTAATTCCTGGAAATAGAAAAACAAGATTAGTGGGTCATAGGATATGATCTTTTCAAATGTTTTAAATACTTATTGTCAAACTATTTTCTAGAAAGTTTGTACCAATTTATATGCCGATCAAAGTGTATGAGAGTGCCCATTTTCAGTATACTTGCCAATGCGTGGCATTATTTGTTTGGTTTTTTAATAAACACTGGTTTATTAAATGGAATGGAGGTGAAAAGATAGTTTCATAACTGTACAAGCAGACTGTTAAACTACATGTTGCTGCAGTGTGTTTTGAAACTCTAGAGAAGACATTCCTGGAGGCAGATGCTCAGGGGATTAGGATGAGGTCTCCCTCCTCTCCTAACCTGCAGACCAAGACGATCTTTACCTAAACAGAAAAGTGTTCCCCAAATTGCCATATATAGGTAAACACTCCTTAGTAAATGCAAAAGAAAGGCTTCTTTTCTTACACAATCAGAACACTGGGTCTCTTGGTGATTGTTGGGTTTTGGTTTCTTTTTCTTGCTTGATTATATATATGGAAAGCAACTTCCCAGTATGTGCTTTGGGTAGTGACTCAAATGCTGAGAACATAAGACTGCTTTCCTCCCTCTGTACATCCTTTTTCCCTCGTTCATTTAAGCATCAAATGAAGCTGTCATAGAAATCATAAGATCCACAAATGTGTATGACAAAGGATGTGTGTGCTGATGGGCAGCTGGGAGTAGCTGAAATGATGAAGGAATGGGAATAAATAAACCTGGTAAAATTTACTGAGTACATTAAGTTGGCAGTTACACGTATGAAATCCTTCTGGCATATTTAAGAAGTCAGTCTAATCCTTCATGGTTTATCTCCATATCCTATCTCTTTGAAAAAATTTAATACAGCAAAAGTACAAACTAATAAAACACTTTGAAATTACCAAATGCTATCATTTTGTCATATTGGCTTCAGATTTTCTCTCATGAAATAAAAATTACTGATAGTTAAATGCTCTCTGTTCACCTCCCTGATCTTGTTTACTCTCCTACCTCCCCAAAGGTAAGCACTGTCATGAAGCTGATGTTTTTCCTTTTAATTCTTCCTTTATTTTTACAGACATATTGATAAACAATATACATTATTGTTTTCTGTTAATATATATGCTTTTGTACTCATTCAGCTTGTTTTATTCACTCAGCTGGGGCCACAGCCCTGTTGATCGGGCTGTGGACTCCATTCATGCAGACCACTATGAGAGTGGTTCCCCTGGGGGCGTGCAGTATGGTTGCCCTGCACTCCACATTCTGTTTTGAGATATATATATATATATATATATATATATATATATATGTTTGTTTGTTTGTTTTTAATTTTTATTGGGGAACAGTGTGTTTTTCCAGGACACATCAGCTCCAAGTCAAGTAGCTGCTTCAGTCTAGTTGTGGAGGGCGCAGCTCCACAGTCCATGTAGGAATCGAACTGGCAACCTTGGTGTTATGAGCACTGTGCCCTACACTCTAACCACCTGAGCCAACATGCTGTCACGATATATATACATATATATATATATATATACATATATATATATATGCATGATAGATCTTGCATTCATTTTAACTACCCTATTGTTTTCATCATGTGGCTGTGCCACATTTTATTTATCGCTTTCCTTAGGAGAAGACAATGTTTTGCTATTACACAGTGCCAGTGAACATCTTTATATGTACAGGTACACAAGTTTCTCTGAGGAATCACCATTCTTTATTCTGAGGTGACTGTAATTGTTTTAAAAAGTATTCTACTGAACATTATAGTAAGAAAAAGACAAACTTGGTAAAACTTAAAATATTTATTAGTATGAATCAGTGTGTGTTAAACCAAAAATAACAGATACAATTGGGCAATGTTGAGGCAATGCTTTACTATAGAATACAAGGTGGAAAGGTCCTAATTGTCTGCAGCGGCATCTTCTATATGCGAGAACTGGGTCCAGCCCAGACAGAAGCCCTTTATAAAAACATGAGAAAAGGGAGCAGTTTACACAACAGAGCACTGACATTGGATCACTAGGTCTGGTTTCAACAATGATGGTTAAAAGAGTAAACTAGATAACGAACAGGTCTGAATACAGCTCGGAAACTTTTCATTCATAAGCTAGCTCATTATTCAACTTGCTATGAGCATTACAAACCTATGAGAAGAGGAGTCCCTAATAGGACCTTAGTGAGGCATCACATGCCATATTCCTTGATCTTAGAGGAAGTATTTCAGTCATCCAAACCTCCCTCAGAAAATGAATTCAATTCTCATTGGAGAACAGCCCTTTTGTTGGCTAAAGGTTAGTTTTAAGTCTTCAACCTTTATAGTCTACAAGGTAACGTCATATTCAGCACCCTAGTGTACCATTTTCAATTATAAAATGGCAAGTCAATTATGTACCTACAAAAAATGTTTGCATGATTCTACTGCCATCTTAGGGCTTTCCACTGGGAAATAATCCCAATGAGAACTCATGCCTACATTATGTGACACACAGTCATGAGCCAAACTCAGCCAGTGAAATGGATTATATGTCGACATAACAAATATGAAAATATATTTACACATATACACATACTGCACATGAAAAAAAGAGAGAGAAATGAGTAAATTTTGGGAAATTATGTGGAGGATTCTACATCACATTCTACTTGACATTTTGGAGCAGTAGTAATTTCCAGGCCTTTACATAATATTACTTGGCTATAGTTCAATTGCTAGAACAGCCAGAAAGTAATCTCAAGGCAGAATAAAGGAAGATGAGAAAGCCTAGACAAGGCTCGAACATCTATCTCCAGAGAAGACTATTTATGTGAAGGATTGTGTGCCAAGTGCCCCCTACTTTCTTCACCAATTGCTCCGAGTAATGATTATTATATATATTCTCATCTGACTGGCTTGAATAGGTAAGGCAGTACAGAAAGGTAAAAGAGTGGCTTCACACCCTCATGTGCTTCTGAAATAAAACCATGGTCTCGTTCCTAGGTAGCTCTTTACATGTGGATAAGACCAGACATTTTATGCAAGACGCAACCACTAGAGACCCAGCCCAAAGCTGCATAACTCCACTGGGATGCATACCAACTTAGCTAGGCAACCTGAAAGGCTGTCTACAGATAAACCCAGCTTCTCATGGACAGATGGATGAGGAAAGTTTCCAAAATAAGCCTGCATGTCATCTGGGAAGGTCATTTCAATTTTCATCCCAAATTTTTGAACTTTGGAAAGAGGCATGATAATTGCTTGGCCTGCAAGCAGAATCTTGTTAGCAAGTAATGTTGATAATATGGAGAAAACCCTAAAAACCCCTGCAAAGGCCCTGCCAAGACATCCAAATGCCACTTGCTAACAGTTTTTGAGGTACCTGTCTGGGAGTGCTCAGAGGCACTGGTGAACCCAAAATAAATGTTTCCAGCCTTCACATTCTAAGATTGTCAAACTACTCTTGCAAGTTGGGTGAAGCAGTAAGAACATCAAATTAACAACATGTTCTTGAGATTTCCACCTGTTTTCTTGATTACTGTCCACATAAAGAACTGTAAACTAGGCCTTGGTCTCTCAAGGACTCTCCCTTTTTGTCGATGGCAGGACTCAGTGTCTCTATGTGTCAAGAGCACAGAGGGCACAACCCTGACAAGACTGTAAAGCACTGACTCTCACTGAGTTACTCAGAGTTTGAGGTCTGTAATCAGCTCATGATCTCTCTCCTGGCTTTTACATTGTAGGTTTTCAATAAATGTTTGCTGGCCCTTTAATGTTCATAGCAAAGAAGTTACTGGCTGGACCAAGCTGCATGAATAACCATTTCTTAGGCTATTCTTTTATAGTTTCTTACCACAACAAAAGGCACCAATTAGAATCTCCTTTAAGAATCTCCTCCCAGCATAAGTCCTAATACAAAACCTACTGCTTCTTGACCCCAAGTTTTTATGAAAGTTAGAATAGTAATAGGATTTGAATTTGGAATGGAAATAGCTTTTCTTTCTCTCCATGCCTTTTCTCCCTTTCCTGCCTTTGGATTCTTATATCTTTATTAACTGAGCAGACAGAGAACATGAAAAGGAAGGTTTTCTTAAAGCCTATTCTCAGTTAATTGGCATTCCAGAGTTAGATCCCTTATTAGCCCTAATGCCTACCTCCCCAGGCTTGGCATCTTCTCAAATGCTTTCTCCAATTTTGCACTTGAGGGTCTAGAACAGCGGTTCTCAACCTTTCACAGGGGTCGCCTAAGACCATCGGAAAACACATATTTTCGATGGTCTTAGGAACCAAGACACTGTTCCTCTATCCGTCTCCAGGCCCACATGCAGATACACCCACATACGAGTACCCGGCGACCCCTGTGAAAGGGTCATTCGACCCCCAAAGGGGTCGCGACCCACAGGTTGAGAACCGCTGGTGTAGAATCTTAAGGTGCCTGTACTTCCCTTGGCTGGCTTTCTGTAACCTGTTATTAATTGCTATTATTAGAAGTTTGCCCTGTGATATAGACTCAAATGTCCTCCAGTTAATTTCTACCCCTAGACATGACACTATCACACATTCTCTTAGTAAAATAATACTCTGTGCATTAACCCTCTCTAAGAGAGTAGGGATTTATTGTTGTGGAAGTGGTACCTGCCAAGTGGTCTCTGGAATAATATTTATATCCTACATCTGTCATACTTATACAGTAACTAGTTAAATGACTCTTCCAACCTAGGCTTCCCAATCCCAAAATTACATGCAATGTTTTTAGTCAGATTTGGCTTGTTTGTTTATATATGACCAAAACTTAGAAAAATGTTCAAGTAAAAGTCAGAGATGTAGACCACAGTTTCTAATACATCTTTTTCCTTTTCTATAACAACTCGAGTCTACATCTTGAGTGATGGTCCAATTATACTCTATTGAAAGGTAAATAAAATAAAATAAAATTAACCTTTCAGTGAAGGCTGGTTAGGTAACAAAAGCAATGGCACTAAAGAAGTTACTGGAATTTGGCTAGGGAACACAGGAAATCAGAATGGGACATCACTTTAGAATCTCACACATGATAAGCCAGTAAGATTTTTGTACAGATTGAGAATATTTTAAAGTTTTTAACAAAAACTCAACTACACTTATTACCTAACATCCATTCCCTACTGTGTGCATTTTATGCATGAAAGGCAATGTGGTGGATTTTCCCAGAGTTTTCTCAAATCCTTTTCCAAGGACATTTCCTGTCCTGTTCCTTGCAGGTCTTCCAGGATGCCAAGCCAGAGTGCTCACTTCTCTCTAATTGAGGTGCCAGGTCACCGAGAATGGGGGAGGGGGGGTCCTTTAGCAGTGCATGGGGAGGTGGCTCTGGCTTCTTCAAGTACAGTGGACTGTGGCCCTGGTCAGCAGCAACGCCGGCTGGCTTGCATGGTTTGCTTCCCAAGTTTGATTGCTCCATTGTTTTCATTTTCATGGGGGTCCAAGGGTGGGATCTGGCGACCTGGAACAAAAGAGACTGAGTTTGAGTTCTTTTTCACCAGTTGATACCACACACATGTTGTGACTGTGCATCAACAGCTGCACTTAATGTGTGTGTTGTACGGAAAATTGAGCGGCTTCAGGAGTAACTTTTTCCTTTCTCTCCTTCCTTCTTTCCTTTCCTTGTCGTTCTGCTGAATGAAGTCAAATTCATGTTTAGGAAGTTAAGGAAAAGTAAAATCAGCTTTCTGATAACACAGATTTCCTTGGATTTGGAACCTCTTGCTTCTGAGTAAAGGGGGAAGTTCTCATCCACCTTCTCGGTACAGACATCAGCCCACCGTTTCTCCCCAGCCTTCCCACAGATGTACCCCACTGGAATGAGCTGCTCCATGGCACCAGGCCTTCAATAATAACTGAGTACTCATCTTTTCTGCTTCTTCAAATAGAACTGGATTGGGAGTTGCAATCTTCCTCACAGTATCATTTATTAACACTTAGCCCACTTTGCCAATGCACTTAGAGCAATAACTAAAAAGCCCTAAGAGACTCTCTTCACAGGAAACAGTATTTTAATGTCAACCACAAGTAATCTTATTAATTTAATTTTAGAAATTATTCCAGAACCTCTGAAATAAATACAAAGTAAGAATTAAAAAGGCAATGGAGGGGGATAGAAAGGTGGAAGCTAAAGGATGTGGGGGTTTCATTTTTAGATAATAAAAATATTCTAAAACTGACTGTACTTATGATGGTTGTACATATCTGTGACTATCCTAAAATCCATTGAATTGTACACTTTAAATGGATGAAATGTATGGTACATGAGTTTTTAAAAATTTATTGTTATTGAGATATAATTGACATATATAACATCGTGTAAGTTTAAGGTGCACAACCTATTGATTTGATACATTTATATATCGCAATGTGATTACTCTGTTCCATGAGCAAATGCCTCTTTGATGTCACATAATTATCATTTCTTTTTTGTCATGGGAACAATTAAGATCTAGTCTCTTGGCAACTTTGAAGTTTATAATAGAGGATTGTTATCTATAATCAGGTATGTGAGTTTTATCTCAATAAAGTTGTCTTTAAAAAAGGCAATGGAATCTGGAAATCACAAATATTTGTTTAGAACTTCATAATTTTCAAAGTTTTTCACAGGCACTATCCTCACTTAACCCTGTGAAGTTGTGGAATGGCCATTATCATCACCATTGCACTTTGCCTCGGAGACCTTAGGTTAGGCCCTGAAGATCAAATCAATAATTAGTGGCATAAGTGGTTCTTTGATTGTACCCTACATCTTGATTTTTCTGATGGACCCCAAAGCCTGTGTTCTTCCCACTTTATCACATTAGCTATTTATGCTACTTTTTTATCCCCCATGAAAAGGCATAAAGCTAGCTCTAAAATACGGCTTTTTTTAATCAGCTAATTAGCATTGCAGTTCACTAGGTAACCAGCAATTAGAAATGGAAGGGAAATAGTTCCAAAGACTAAGTCCTTCAATGCAAGTGGACGTTACCAAAGGATCATAAAGAGAGTCAAAATGCCCTGATAAAGGTGCATTTCCACAAAGGGCAGAAATAGTTTATTTCAAAGATATTAATGCACTGTGTAGATTGGGTGGTGTGGCCATTCACCAAAGCTCAAGCATAAAAATTAAGGTCATTGGCAATTATCCAAAATTCAAAACTGGTGGCCCTTCATCTGATTATGGAGCAGCAGATTGTAATAATTTCTGCAGCTATTGCTTCTGCCATTTCGTATTGCCAACAAAGCTATACAAAGCTTTTGCAGGTCATTCTTCAAAAAGTTCACTCCTAATCTAGAAGCAAATGAGAATATAAGTATGTGTTTTCCTCTTCTGGGTATGCTGTGTTCTTTTATTAGTCATAATTAAAAGAAAATAAACAAAATGCTTCTTCTACTTTGTCAGTCTTAAGTTATAAATAGAGGAGAAAGTTCCCAATGACTACCAATACTCTGAATTATTTAGGTCAGATCTTGCCAGTTAAGTGTTACTCCTTGAAAGAAAGTGATAAAGTGATGTGTTTTGGAGGGATCATAGTGTCAAGTTATATATTATTTAAGTTACTTAAATTAATAATATTTCAGGTGCCTCCTGAGTGTGTGTTAGGTACTATAATAGGGACTCTTGCTTTTGCATCTGAAATATTTTTGGACAAAATTATAATTCTGATCGGTGCAAGCTATTGCCATAGTTAACTAAGACAAGTATTATTTACTGATAAGTATTTTGGGCAATATAAAAATCAATATCTCTACTAACATCAACTTCAAGCTATTCTTATGTTGTTAACTCTAACTTTAGTTATAAAACAGCATTAGGCTTTTAGCCCTCTTATACATGATGTATTCTACATGCCTCATGTCATAAGCTTTTTCCTGTGAAAAGTACCCCAAACACAGAAAAAGTGCATAAGGTATTCAGTACAGTCACAAAAGTGGGTGAAAATATGAAAACAAGGAACATACGAAAACAAAATGGGAATGCTAGGGCAGCCCCGTCATCACCCTTCCCTGCTTTCCCCTTCTTTCTCCTTCTTTCTTGCCTCTCACTTATTTCCTAAGACAATGTTTGCGATGCAAGATTAAGACCTGAGTCATGCCTCAAGGAAACTCCCTCTTACTCATTTTAGACTGTTAGCAATGTTTTTGAATCAGTTGTTAAATCTGGTGTCTTAGAGTAGCCAGGTTCTATTTATCTTCAGAATATTCAAAATCTCACTTATTAGAACAAAATATTTCTCAGAAACAGAATTACTAGTTTCCTCAGATTTCATTTTGCTCCTCTGGTAGAAAGAGTTTTGAAATCTGAGAGTCAGTATTCCAGTTAAGAGAACTCAGTCAAGTTATTTAATATCTCCAAGATTTCCTTTCCTCACCTATATAGAGAATATGAGAAAGTAACATGACAACTACTACACAATATAGATATATGGCTATTACTGATGGAAAAAAACAATGACAATGAACAGAGTCACGGTTCTGGGCACAGCTCATGTGGAGTTTACACAGGGAGAAACCCCTGCCTAGTAGCTCACCATGCTCAATACTCAGGGTTCAGTTGCTAAGATTGGGACCCACCCTGCTTGTCTACAGAGCACTCAACTTGGGAGGTATCACACACATTCCAACTTCAAACAGTGAAAGGAAGTGCTTCCACATTAAGGCAGAAAGAGAATTCAGCAGGGTCATAACAATGAGGAAAGCACCTCAAAAAGAGAAGGAAGCAAACAGTATGTGAAAACACAAAAGCTGAGGATCTTGTGGCCTGAGTTATTTGGAATTTACTGAGAGGTTAAATGTACTTAGACAAAAGAATAGTTCTGGAAAATGGCTATAGTGTTTCATATCAAGGTGATTACCTTGGAACACTGTTGAAACAGTATTAATTTCACGGGGCATAGGATAGGACAAAAACATATATACAAACATCTGAAAAGGCTCCGAGCATCATCTGCATGTTTCCACTCTTTCAAAACATCCTTTGAGTAAGCAATCTCAGTAACAAGTAATCCTTGATTATAAATCATAGGCCAGGGTGTTTATTTTAATAAGGTTTGGATTGTGTACGATTCTGTTTGGAAAAAGTTAAGACTCTTTTATGAAGTTCAGTTTTCCTGAAAAGTTGACAGCCTAGAGAAAAAGCAGGTTTTATAAATGATTCCTCAGGAATGCAGTATGTGAAAAAACAAAGTCCAAGTCTATAAATTTTATCATGGCTCTAGACTGCAGGCTGTAATGCTTTTACACAACAAAATAAAACAGCATGCTTAGCTGTTGCTGTTCTTTCTTTGTGTGACAGACCGGCCATTTCCTGCATGAGCTTAAAGTCCTCCCTGACCATTTTGCTGTTTATATTCTACTCTCCTTTTATTTCAGTTCCAGTATTTACTTGGATCACCATCTTTTGTTGAGTGTTAGTGGTGCTGGTAGTTGCTGTGTAACTTCTATTTCTTGATCTTGATTTTCTGAATCATTCATATTAGTAAATTGACCAAGCTCATTAGGACTTGACAGTATTTACTCTTGATAATGAACTTCAATCCTCTCCATTAGAGAGGGGGTCTCAGTGGCTCACAATCATGGAACATTGCCTTAAAAATACAGAATGGGGGCAGGGGGTGACATGCATGACACTCGAGGTCACTCACTGTAAGTCCTCTTGTTGCTGTAAAGAGGATAATACTGGAATTACTAGATGACCTTGGATATTAGTACAGATGAGATAACATTCCATATAGGACCAGAAAAGCTTAGGAAACAAGAAGGAAATTCAATCAGAAGGCTTGGTGAAAGTCCAGATCAGGGATAATGAGGGCCTTAATTTGGGCACAGTTGAGGGAAGTAGAAAACAAAGATGGAAAGAGCACTGTAGAAAGACATTTGGCAAATGTGACAACTGATTGGATGTAAAAAGCTGAAGAGAGGAATAAAAACAACCCCAAACTTAAAAGTCTAGAGAGAGGGACTTCCAGTAAGATGGCAGAATAGACAGACGCTGTGGCAACTGCCTCCCAGGATCCCACCAAAATTACAAATAATTTATACAACATTCAACCTCGGAAGTCACCTGAACACTAGATGAACAGAACCTCTAAATGAAGGACTTAAAGAGGAGGCCACATCGAGTCTGGTAGGAGGCGGGGAGACGAGACAGGGCGAACCCCATGAGGGACACCTCGGTTGTGGGGAGGCCCCTCTGGTTGGGGTAGAGACCCTCCGACCCCACACCAAGCTCACCAGCCCAGAATTACTTTGCCAGGAAGAGGAGTTCTACGATAGCTGGCAGCAGAAATTAGTAAGGACTCTCTTTGCTCAACTCGGTGAGGTTGAGGGCGGCTAGAGAACCAGTGGAGCCAGCAAACCGACTCGCTCGTTGGTGAGCACTCACCCAGTCCCTGGTGGAGGGAATGCAGTGTGAGCCGGGCACAGGAGCCTGTGGGGAAAGACTGAACTGAGCGCCTTTGGCACGGGAGCTAGAGG